ATACAGGAAGAGCTCAGACTGGAGGCAGTGGTGTGCTGTGATGCTTAGGAGATGGCCTGTGGCACCGTGTGGTTCCCACCTCCAGCAGCCCTGCTCCTGCCTGCTTCAGTTCCTGGGAGCTAATAAGCACCAGCTGCAGGAAACCTGAGCTGGAAAGTGTTGCTTTCCCTCTTGTTTAAAAACAGTTTAAAAAAAAAAAAAAGTGTTTATGTATTTATCTGCTCTGAGCCATCACTTGCAGGGCATTCCAGCGATGAAAACAATAGTGTGACAAGGGAGCAGCTCCAGGTCGGACACTGCTGCAGGAAACACCTGCAAGCTCTGTGCCATCCCTGACACTAGGGCTGCACTGCTGTGAGCCTCAGAGGTGGGGGATGCTGGCCTTGAGTGAGAGTTTCCAGTGGACTCCTTCAGTCCAATAAGTGTATTTTAGCTGCTTTTGACCAACTCTGCTGTGAAATCTTGGAAAACATGTTTGTTTCCCCATTTCTTTGAGTGTTTTTTTTTTTTTTTTTGTGGGGTGGGGAGAGGGGGAGGAAGGGGAAGATGGGACACCTGTGCAGAGCTGCTTCTACTGTGCCCCTACTTTGCAGGACCTCCTGATTGCAGATGGGAGGTGAGGACATACTGCTCGTAGAAAGGAAGAGTTGGGGTGCTTTTTTTCTCCTTCTACAAAAAAAAATCTGGACCGTTCAAATCATTTGCCTTTTCCCTTGTGCTGACAATTTAACAGCCCTTTTAAAAGCTTTGGTTTCTCTCAAGTCCGCTCACCCCATACGTATTTTAATTTTTGTGCAGAGGCCTGGAGCTTAACAATTATTTTGCTTAAGCTCTCTGAGACTTGCCATAAAACTTTTTTTTTTTTTTTTTAAACACACACATGCTAATGGTCCCCATCAGATCATATTGTTAAGCAGAAATAAAATATGCCAAGATGACATTACTTTAAAAAATGTCAGAAGCATGCCAATGGAGCCTATTTCAACAGTTTTCCTCCGAAATAATTTGCACAGATTTGTTAGAGTTAACTTGTTGAAAAGTCCGATGTTTGTGCAGGCAGTTTGTGACTTCCAGCTGAGCCCAGGATGGGAGAGGAGCAAGCGCGTGTCCAGCGCTTACAGGAGCAGGGCAGTGAGGACTTCCCCCTCCTCCCCTTCCCCCCTGGTGCGGGAATGCAAGCCCAGTGTCGGAGGCTGGGAAAGTCAGCCTTGAATTTTTGTGGACTCCTTGCAAATCAGAGGAACTGTCTGGCTCAAATCTGCATTTAGGGCCGAGAGAATAGGATTTCCTGCTATTTAGTTGCTTGAGGAAGGAAAGGATTTACCTCTCTGCTGTAATAGCGCCTGTTTTTTTTTTCTCCTTCTTCTCCTTTTTAATAAGAATATTGTAGCGCAGTGTAGCAGTAGTAGACCTGCAAAAGCCATCACGCCTCCCTCCCCTTCCCTCACCCTCCCTGTGCTGCACGTGGGTGCTGTGACACGGCTCCCCTGATCCCATGCAGCACGGAGGGGCTGGGGCTGGCATCCGCCTCATTGTGAAAGAGAGAGTTGTGGAGGGCAGCCGCGCTGCAGCTCGGCCGGGCCGTGCTCTGCCCACCATCTGGATCTGGTTAGCTCGCTCGGCAGTAGGGCTGAGTCTCATTTCCTCCAACCAGTAATGTTATATAGGCAGTGATCCTGTTCTGCCCTAACATAATTGAAAATTATGTGTATTGTAGACTCGCAGCGCTGAAATGTAGACTCGTAAAAATCTGTGGCTCAGGTAGCCTGTGGAGATTGAATTTGGCACACAATGAAGCTTTTATGTAAAATAAGAATTATAAGCCACCACATCAATATTGTGTTACAGGCATGACAATTCTTGGATGAGGAGACCTTGAGTCAGGCTCGTCACCTTAAACAATGCTAATATTTTGTACTTTATCAACGGGGCTGGCATTGCAGCCAGCAGGACAGCCTATGTTGTGACCATCCCACCGCTGAAGCTGTAGGTCTGTCTGCTTGAGGCCAGTGGCCCTGTCTGCATAATGGATAGGCCTCATACCTGTGACGAGGGCTGGCTGCTCAGTGGAGTTGTGCAAGCTGCTTTGCTGATCCTTGTACCCTCACTCATGAAAATGGATGATGTTTCGTAGGTGTGAAATGGGGCCTTGCTGGTTAGGGCTGCTCCTGCTGGGCACAAAGGGTGCCCAAAAACAGTGAGTTCCAGACAATTGGCATCAGCTGTGTTTGAGCCATTGCTGGAAGATTTCTGAACCTGTTTTGGCAGGGATGGGTAACAGACTTTACTGAGAGCCTAAACTGTAAGAGTTTACAGCACAGAAAAGCAAAGCATTGGCCAGCTCTTCCTGAAGCTTTTTTTGAACTACCTCTCTTGGCTCTTGCAAGATGGAGGAAGAACAGGAATGGTCATGCTGTCTTGCCCTGTTTCTCCATATGGGAACTTAGTGCTAGTAAAAAGAGCAGAGCAGGCAGTCCTGAAAGCTTTATAACCCCTACTGTAACTCCTGGCAAGATAGGCTCTGATGTGAGCTAGTTCCTGCTGCTGTGTCAGTGTTTCTTGGTCTGCCCTCAGGAACAGACTCAGAGAAGCCCACGCATTTCTTGACCTGTCTTTTAGAACAATTACTGATGTGAGATCCTTTAGGAGTTATCAGGTTTATGGCATTCCAGAGCTGTTCATGATGATCAAGTGGTCATGGAAACACGTGTGGTTGCTTTGTTTAGGTGGACAGTCACTCACTGGCCATGTTCTGTAAGCTGGCTGGTTCTTGTAAGGACTTTAGCTGTGCTAGAAGTAACTTCTCACATCTCCTAAACAGTCACGTGTCAGGAGGCAGACATCCTGTGAAGACATCTGCCTCAGAAGAAGAAATAAATGCAGTCTCTAGAATGACAGTGCCTTTTACCAGTGTTTAGTACTTCACTCCCTGGCTGAAGAGACAGGGGAAGCTGTTAGGCACTGTGACCCATCAGGACAAATGCTATGGAGTTTTTGTTCCTTCCTGGAAATCCGCGTGCCTCTTTACGTGGTGGAGTTAAGATCAGTGAATGTGAAAGACGACTGACAGACTCCAAAAAATCTATCAATGCCTTGTTTTAATGGTGCTGTTCACAAATCTGAAATGTATCAAATCCACCCTGAAGTTAAGAAGCTCTCAGTCATCTTCAGTTTTGAATTCATTTCTGTGCATTTGGGTTGTGCTTTTAAGCATTTCTTTAAAACCCCAAACGTAATCTCAACTTTAGAATTTATGTCGTGATTGCCTACATGGAAGAACAGGGATTTGATACAAGTGATCAAGTATCCAGAGGCTTACTATCAAGTGATATGAGTTAGAAAGTTAGAAATTAGTTAGAAATTAGTTGCTTACAGTAGACTAGTTCTCGTTTGTTTGGGTTTTATTTCTTGTTTTCAAGAACTGCTGAAACATTCTGGTCCACACTGTACAAATCCCAAATGTGAAGATGAATAAAAATACAAGACTTCTTGGAACTTGAGGAACTTGTATGGAGCACAAATCCAGAGTATGGCTTTGTTTATTTGCATTCCAGTAGCTTAGAAATCTCAGACCTGCCAAGCGATGGGAAATGGGAGTACATCCTCCTGCTTTTGGTCAGTGCCTATGGGTCTTGCAGCAAAGTGGCCTTGCATGCTAGCAAATGTTTTGCATACACGAGCAAATGTGATAGCGATGTGCTGAAAGCGTGGAACCAGATCTCCTTCCTTCCTTCACGGAGATTTAAATAAAGCTTCCGTTGTTAGTTGGAGTGGCAGGGGCTGTTTGTGCATGGTTCTCCTTCAAGATAACTCGCACACACACACACACACAAAAAAGCGATGAGTAAACATAACTATTTCTCTAGATATTTTCTAGGAATAGACCTGTTAGGTCAATCGGAGTCCAGTGCTAAACAGGATCTTCTGTAGTGGTTAGATCGATGCACACAGCTGCTTTTCTTAGGTCTGGAAGGGGGTTGAAGTATGTGGCAGTAAGCAAATTTTCCTGCACAATATAGGGCTTTTAGAGATCACATGTTAACCATTGGCACAGAGTATCACCACACAGAGTGTAAAGCTCAGACAGAAATTAGATTTAGTTTTAGTTGATACTTGATGATGTGAGGGTCTGTTTTGTTTTGTTTTGTTTCTACTTCTCTTTCCTTTTCTGAATCACCACCCTCTTATACTGTAGATCGACCTTATATTCAGACCAGCATCCGTGACATAAATATGTTCTGGCTATCTGTGAGTGTCTGGCCAGAGCAACTGAGAGTGTATGCGCCAGGCTATATTCTGTCTTGGACATCATCAGCTGGAGAGATTATTGAGTTTGGCTGTGTAATTGAATAAGTTACACTGTGCAAGTCCCTTAAGAGTTGTCTCCTGGTGATGATGAGCAAGAAGAAAACAACCCACGGTGACTTCCAGAGCCAGTGGAAAGGAGAAAAGATAGATGCTGAGAGCCAGAATGGATGTGAACTCAGCACTGCTTTTTGGGCAGACATCTGCCTTCAGGGTGAAGTTAGAGTTGTTGACATGCTGCATTTGTTGAAAGAGGGCCAACAGATATGATCCTTACTGAGATACTGAGATCATATTCTTAACTACTGATAGGTGTTTTCTGTCTCTTGAGACTGATAATCTACCTTCCCCTTCCTTGTACCATCTTCTTTTCGTGATTATGATATTTTGCCTCTGGGTGGCTTTTCTAGGTTTGCTATGATTAATAAAATTATTGTAGTATTGTCTCTGCAGTCTGCCATATTTTCTTATTCCTGAACTGTGATTTGGTGGGATGGGACTGTTAGATGTTTTTTTTTTTATTTCCACAAACATGCGAAATTGTCTTAATTTTTGTTTCAGCTCCTTGCATACGTTTTAATTTATATCTTTTTGCCCATGTTACCTAAGATTTGCTTTTTTTTTTTTTTTTTTTTTTTTTTGCCTTTCTTTTCTGAACTCATTTTTCTTTTCCCATTTTTGTTTCCTCCATCCAGTATCTGCAGATGAAATGGCCACTGCTTGATGTTCAGGCAGGGAGCCTTCAGAGTAGACAAGCCCTCAAGGATGCTAGGTCTCCATCTCCAGCACACATTGTTGTAAGTAAACACAGAAGATGTTCTTTATTTGTTTTCTATTTTTTTCTTAAAGGCATTTGACCTCAATCGCATTGATTGTCATCACTTTTCTTTTGCACAAACAGAAAGATAAATACTTGCAAAGAAACAGAAACTCTAAGAAGCCCATGGTAAAAGGAAGGAATATATATTTCATTGCTGGGCCGCTTGTTAAATTATCATTTATGCTGCTTAGCTCTGTGCTTATTAGGAGAGCATAGAGTTGAAAATGCTTTAAGATTTCATACCGCAGAATGATTTAGTGGCAATGAATTGTGATCCAGTTGGTTTACACATGATTATGTTGAACTGAAATTAATGAAGAGATACTTTCGAAAAGCAAAAAAAAAAAAAAAAAAAAAAAGAACAAAAATGCTTCCTTGTTCTATAGTCCTTTATTTTATTAACTTCTTGGTTAAATTTTCTTGCATCTGTTTGGAAGACAGTGTTGAATTTGAAATATTCAATACAAATTTGCATGAGAAAAGTATTGGAATTTCATTTTATTTTCTGAAAGAGCATCCACACAGATTCAAAAAGAATCTCTCTATATGGTTCTGTGTCAGAAGGGCATTATGCATTTCCTTTCCTCACCTCTGGCCAGATTCAGCACAATCTATCGTTAAGGAGCCGTTTAGCTCTGAGGGCCTATCTGGAGAATATAACTTTGGAAAAATGGCATGTAGTGGTTTAGAATATTTCTTCTGTGATTCTTTATTGTTAAATTTTGTGTTTTTTAAAAACTTTTATGATGAACGGATGACAAGATTGATCCCAAGAGACAATACTTGTTCTTTCTCTTCTGTTATGAAGTCTAAAGCGGATATGGTTGATAGACTAGACATGTATATGGTTTGTTAGATATTTTAAATAGTAGTAAAAGTTTTTGTTGTTTCACTATTGTTTCTAACTTGAGAAGTGTCAGCCCTTTGCTATGAGTGCCTTAAGTTTGTTTGTTTGTTTTTAATTAAAAGAAAAGTTCCATATCTTCTAGAGTTCATAGCTTCTAAAATAGACTGCAGAATGGACTGCCCAGTGTGGCAAAGTGATGAGTACAGTCCAATACTTGCTTAGTTGAAACACTGGTTGCTTCCATTTTTTAGAATGACTTTGTTTTTCCTTTTTGCGTGCTTGGGCTGTTATTGAAGGAAGAGGTGGGAGAAGAGATGTTTGGCTGCTTATTCAGAAAGGGGCAGCCATCAAAACCTGTCACCGTCTTCTCCCTGATAAGAAACGCACCAAAATAACTTCTATCTTTTAGTGTTTTTCTAAATGCTGTGCCCAAGAACCGACTCCCCCTGGGCTCTGGGTCTGAGTTCACAGCTTAGGCTTGCTGGTAGTATGGTCTTGCAGGAAGATTTGTGAGGTAGTGGGAAGTTTTCCCAGCTGTTGGCAGCCTAAGGGCAGGCTGAGTTTGGGTGGCAGAACTGGACATCACCTGCACATTTGAGCACCTGCTGTCCCTCCAGCTTGCCTTTGAAAATCAAAGCAGCTTGTGGTGCCGGTCCTGGTTAGGCTCCCTGCTCACAGCATCACTACTGCCAGCCCCCTTAGCCCCTCCACTGGGAATGGGCAATATGAAGATAAGTTGAACACACATATGCACTAAAAAGAGCGCTGCCAGTATAAAAATCAAGATCATTTTGGAAAATAAAGAAAAAACCTGTTTCCAGGAAGGCTGAGGTTGATCTGCCGTGTATTTTGACCATTTATGGGGTTCTTATGGGTCTTTTTAAAAGCAGTTTCACTCTGCTATTCAATAAAAAGCATATTTACCATAGCAACCACTTAAGCTGTGAGGAACATATACTACCTCCGAGATGGAGGCCACCTTCCAAAAGAGCCACAGCTGGCATTTGTAATGTGATCTTTTGTGCTACTTACAATGATGGAGGAAAGAGGAGGAGGCGGAAGAGCAGGACGGGGGAGCAGTGGGTTTTGAGGTGTGGGGAGTGCAGATTCTGCAAGGTTTCATTATTATTTCTAAGAGAAAGCTGTTTTGCCTTGTTCTGTTAAAATAAATAAGTAAAGGCAGCTTCTTTTTTTCCACACTTTTTCCGGGCATCCACCCCAGGTCAGATGCATTCTGTGGAGTAAAACTGTGTTGTTGTTTTCTCTTTTTTTTTTTTTTTTGGTTAAAGTAAGAAAGGGCTGGGTAGTGGCATTCAGGGAAGCAGCAGTGATGGAGAGCAGATGAAGCAGCAGTGTATGCCAGTTATCCAGGGATGTGTAAGATTTCTCTGGTCCCCACTCATCACTGCCACATGTAGCACCTGGGGGGGGAGTTTGGCTGCTCTTGTACTGGGCTCTGTACCTCCATACCTCATTCTGCCTATCTGAGAATGCTTGCATGGAACAATAAGCAGTACTTCATGGACAAGCTTGTATTTCTGCATGGCTATAGGGACAGAAATGGGCTCTCCACCCATGCTGCTACATCTTGTCTGCCCGCCAAGCTTATCCGTGCCAGTTTTATTTCCTGAGTTCAGTTGTGCTGCCCCGAACATCTACAGGAAAATGCTAACACCTGCAAATCATTTCTTATCTTTAGCATATCTCTGAAATCAGTATGAAGGCTAATCTTTATAGCTGCATTACAAAGAGAGGGAAGGAAAGCGTGTGGGTTTTTTCTTTCTTTCTTTTTTCTTTTTCATTTTTCTCTTTTTCATTTTTTTTATTTATTTATTTTAAATTCTATTTAACATTCTTGCTTTTCAGTGCTTGGCTCTGATTAACACGGTCTCTTTCTCAGGGCCTCAGCCTTTACACCCAGCTTCGATGAAACTCCCTTTGGCTTCAGTGTGAGTTTTTAGCTTAATGACTCAGGTCTGCAGAACATGGCTGTCTATAATGTCTTAAGTAAAGTCTATACTATTTGTCAGCCCTGCTCCTTTCAGATTTGTTTAAGAACATTAAGAATACAAAAATGGAAGCAAAAGACCAGCATGAATAATTTGGCTGGATTGCCCCCAGTGCTGAGGGCTGGGTTAATACTGCTTTTCATGGTGCTTGAGAGAGTCTCCAAGGCCCATAATGAGAAACAGAATATTAAACTGAAATTATGTTCAGCATGTCTTGAGGAAGGTACAGCATGAGGCTCCATTTAAGACCAATACATTTATTTGCATTTAGGAGCTTCACTCATCTTGTAAGACTCTTGCATCTTGCTTTGGCACAGTCATGCTGTTTATCTGTGTCCAAAGGTGAAAGAAAACTGGGGAAAAAATTGTTTTAATAGTACACTATTAAGCTTACTAGGTCAAAATTTTGAATTCAGCCTGTGGATAGTACAGTAATGAGGCTGTGACTTTGAAAGGATTTTATGGCTATTTTCTTCCCCTTTTTTCCCCCCGACCTCTGATTTTGTTGGAAAAATAAGTTTTTGGGTGTAAAATAGGCCTCAATTGGGAGTTCTTCTAGACAAGTAGGCTAGTTGCCCTGAAATCCCTTGTTGAATGTGGACTTAACCTGCTCTTCTCACCTGAGACAGCATGGTGATAGGGGTACAGGCTGGGTGCCCCAGCACTGAGATTCTCACCTGAAAACTCTGGGTTACGGTGCAGATAGGCAAGCAAAAATGAGGTGTAACCATATTAGCATCTCTAAAATCTGCCTTCTACAGAATGCAAGATCCTTCAGAACCATTTTTATCTGTGTATGTTTTTCTCTTTATGGTTGTAGGAGCGCATGTTGTTATTCCCTGTTCTTTGCAAAGTAAATATTCTGACTAAGCTGTACCCTGGTTTGGGCAGAAGGATGGGTGAAGGCTGTTCCCTGGGTTCTGCTTCCTGCTGTCTTGGCTACACAAAGACTTGCTTTTAGCTTTCTTTGTAGCAGGCGAAAACAGTCTGAACCCAAAATGGTGGTGGTTTGGTGCAGTATGTTTCTTACAAATCAGTTAAAGGTTTAAAAAATTCCTGCATTTTCTTCTGCAGGGAGGCCTTTTGAAGTAAATGTAAATGTTACCTTGGGGGAGGACTTCTTGTACTGTTTGGCCTGGGTTTTCTAATACATAATGAACACAGCCATGAAGTAGACTGAATCCCCAAGAACAAAGAATCACTGTGTAGTAGTATATCTATTTTTTTTTCTTCCTTTTTTTTGCTTAAGGAGGTGAAAATGTGTTTTCAAAACATAATATGACAAGCAAAACTTAAGGCAAAACCATCTCAAAAATGTACTCTCTGTTCTCAACATCTTCGACACATGTGGAGAGTGTGTCTGTGGCTGCTGGGCATTTTGGGGGGATCAGGAGTTGTTTCCCAGAGCATTTACAGTCGGAGCAGCCGAGTCTGCTCTCCTTTCCTCCTAATTTTTTTCAATCTCATATGTTTTGCACTTATGTGTTTAGGGAAAAAAAAGGAGAAGTACCTATGAAATCATGAGGTTTATCTAGATTTTAGAATTCACCTGCTGTCCCATCAAATGCTTCAGGGCAGAAGTGTGGTGCATCCAAACACGTTTGCAGTCCTCTATGTGTAGAGCGAAGATGTGTAATCTTGCGACTCCCACTCATGGTGCCCAGAGAGGGCTTTTTAAAGCTCTTGCTTTGTTTGTCTTTAGTATTTTGTCTTTAATATTTTGTTGTAGAGAGGCTGTTCTTCCTTTGCAGTAATCTCTTGAGATGTTTTCAGATAGGCCACGTGTGCCCTTGATGGGACACCCTCCTCTGCAGAGATCTGCAGAGCAATCCCCTGAGCACACAGCTTGTGTTGAGAGCTCCAGGAATGTGGAGGTGTCAGGGTAGGAGTAGTGTGTGTTTCATGTCAGTGCTCTGTGTCAAGAGGGTGTTTGCATTGTAGTGGCAGCCTAGCAGCCCCTGATGGCAGGTTGGTCACGCCTTAGTGCTTGGACCCAATACACAGGTCCTGCAGACTCACACTGCAGAAATACTCAGGCAGGCTTAATTGGAAAGCTTCTTTAGTGACTCTGCTTTTTAAATGCTCTATACTTTATTTGGCTAATTGCTCTGGCAGTTGCAA